GAGCCGCCGACCTCCCGCCCTGGCGGGACCGCGACAAGGCTGTGCTGGGAGTGCGCTCCTGGGGGCGATCCTTGGCGTTGGGCCCCCTCACCTCCTCCTCCCCCTCCTGCTCTGCCCCTTCCTCCTCTTCCCCAGATATCCGATGTCGTGATTTTTGTTCAACACGGGGTCCCCAGAGGGGTCGACCCATTCCCCAGGGCCGGCTCTTCATCCCGAGTCGTTTTCTAACGGTCCCAGGGCCCAGTGAGGGCCCCTAGAGACCGAAGATTGCGAAAAACGTCCGTCTTGATGTTTGTCAATACGTTGGATCTCCTTTCTGGAGGCCCGCCTCGCCTGGCGAGCCTGACGAGCGGCCCACCCCCCCCTGGGCGCGCGGCACGGGCGGCCGTTCGGCGTGCCGCGCGCGGCCCCGTCCTGCGGTTGTCGGCGCCCGCGTGGCAACCCAGGCGTCCGACACTGCAGGCCTCCTCCCCCCCCCCCTCCTCCCCCCCCTCCTCCTCCCCCCCCCCCTCCTCCCCCTCCCCCTCCTCCTCCTCCTCCTCCTCCTCCTCCTCCTCCTCCTCCTCCTCCTCCTCCTCCTCCTGTCGATCCTGTCGATCCTTGCGCAGCCAAGCTCCTCCAGGCGAGAACACTGGGCGGCGGGCGACGGCGAGCGACGCGAAAAACGAGGCCAGGGCCAGCAGGCGCGCGACCGCACCGCTAAGGCCCCGACCGATGGAGGGGTACAGGCCGACCCACGAAGGATTTGGTGGACGGATCCTTCCCCTCCTTCAGCTGCTTTAGGGTCTTCTCCGCTGGCTTGTTGGGAGGCGCGCCAGGGCACGGGCCTCCCAATAGGCACAGCTTGACAGACCCGAATGCAGCGCACGAATTACACCACACGACTCGGCCGCCACTGATCCAGAGCTTATGGCTGGTGTGGGCGAGCCTGGCCAGCCTGGGGAGGCCAGAGCACGGCATCGCGCACACTGACGCTTCTGAAAACCCCGAGGCGCCACAGTTCACACAGCGGTAGGCCCCCTTCCCCTTAGTGCCCGTCCTGTGGACAGCGTGCCCCTTGAAATCACAGACCAAAACTAAAGGGTCATGCTTGGGGCGGGGGGGGGGCCTTAGATTTCTGGACATCGGGGAAATTCTTCTTGCTGAGCATCTCCCCGAAACACGCAATGAACCTACTGAAGTCTGCTACCTCCGAACTTTTTTGTCTCTGGAGGGCGCCGAGGCGAGGATTGCAAGGGTGCTCCAGGGCTCCGCGCTTAGCAAGACCGTCAGCAATGCCGTTGCCGACCCAGGCCCAGTGGGGGGCCTCCGAGGTCTCCAGACATCTACTCCAGGAAATGTGACTCTTAATTTTGTGCAGGCAGATCATTTCTAGTCCTATATCTAGAACACGGTCCCAGACGAGCTCCCAGACCTCCGAGAACGCCACCTCAGACATGCCCGACTCGGGCCCGCGGGCCCACACGTCCAAGACAGTCTGGCAATCAGTGTAGATATGGGTGCACTGCGAGGGCCCAATGAGCTTGAGGGCCATCAGCAAGGCATACAGTTCACCAGCTCCTGATTCCTGGACAGGATGAGGAAGGGGTCCAAACGCACTGCCCTCGCAACGACTGCTTTGATCCATGGCCACCACTGCCCAACCTGCACGAGCCGCATACAGGGAGGTCGCGTGAAAGCCTGAGCCGTCGATGCATATCCTGCTCCCTAGGAAACCTGCTTCTGGCACTTTATCCCACCGCCAGATCTCGGCTGTGGAGACCTTGGGCCAGTCATACCCTGGGTCAGCAATGAGCGCTCTCGTCGACAGGAAATCGTAGGTGCCCAGCTGCAAGCCTCTGTCCACGCACTGCGGCAGGTCTAAGTCCCGCCTAAACAGAAGGAAACCATCACACTGGTATAAACGATGCTGTGGCGTGCCGTTATACATGCCGCAGACCCTGCACAGCGGCGTGATGGCTCGCCTGTCCTGGAACAAAACATCCTGAGTGGGATGACCTCCTGCGACTACATTACACAGAAAGGAGGCAGCTGAGTTTCTCCCCGCTTTCCTGAGGCCTCTTAGGGTATCCATGATGGGCCCCAGGAGGGGAGGAACCACACGCTCAGGATCTTCGGGATCAGGAACCCCAACATGCTCCAGGAGCCTCATATGTGTACTGTAGTCAATCAACTTAGCAAGGGTGCGCTTCCCGAAGTGGTTGAGGTCCAGTAAGAAGCCACGGCAAGACTCCCAGGTGTCCCAAGCAGTAAACCTCCAGCCCAGACGATCCAGGGTAGCCCACACCGCTCCAGCTGGCCCCCGAACCTTGTCCCACGTCCTGGAAGCAACCGTAGGGTAGGCCTGCGCGCAGGCCCTCATGATGTGCTCGGGGACCCATTTCTGTTTCACAGCCTGTTGTCACATCTTGAGCGGCAGGAGGTCGGCCTGGAACGCAGGGTCCAAGCCCTTAGTAGGGCCCAGCAAAAACTGCAGAGTCCTGGAACGGCCCCGCCCTTTGCCGAAAGATGCCTGGCCTATGATAGAGCGCAGCTTCATGACCGTGGAAGTGTTCATGCCTATGACCGCTGTGCCGTAAAAAGCTGCTGGCAATCCACCTGTCTTCACGACCTTGCACAAGCCCGAGTAGCCCGAGCGAAGGCCCCTAAATCGGCGAACTCGGGGCCCCAAACTCTCCCATCTCGACCCCGGGGCTGGAGTTCGGCGCCGACCTGCAGTGTAGTCAACCCCGAGGTTACGAGCCGACTTGACCACTTGGAATTTCCAACGCAACACTCGTGTTTTCACCCGGACTTCTATATCCCGAGAAGTCGCCGTGATCAGGCCTTTCGTGGGAGAGATCAGGAAACCAAGTTTCTCCAGATTGCTGCACAGCGTAAAAGTAGCATCGGCCGCCGTTCTCGCCACCGCCCTAGCCTTACCTGTAGCACCGCACGTAATATCATCGACTACATTGTAGATCCGAACCGACGGGAACTTCGAAACCACCTGGTCTAGCGGGTCAAGAAGGAGGCACTTTAGCAGGGTGGTGGCGAACGTGCGACCTGCCAAGATCGCCTGGATGCAGGCGACAAACTCAGAGCAGACCCTGCCCACCTGCAAGACCCTCTGGCCCCTGTGCAAGCAGAGGAGGTAGCGCAGGCGGTACAGAGGAAAGCCGTGCTTGATGGCCGCCGAGGCCAAGAAGAAATCAACCACCTTCTCATAGCACTTGGTCATATCGACCAGGACAGACGCTGCTGAGTGCCCAAAAACGCACGCATGCTCCATCCTAATAGACTGCTCCCAAACAGCTCTTTCGCACGAGCGCCCCCGGCTTCCGAAATGGCAAGGCCTATCATGGGCCCGCTCCCAACGATCTGCCTGTGCCCGAGAATATTTCCCAAAGCACCTGGCGCTCCCAGGCAAAATTCCGATTGGCCGAACTCCACCTTCCTCGCCCTTAGGGATCATGGCTATGAGAATCGCGGCCAGGACCTCGGGGAGTTTGCCAAGAGACTCCATCCAAAACCAGAGAGCAGCCACGCACTCCAGGGCCCCGTCGCTGAGGATCTCGAAATCCCTGGGGTGTCTTCTCTGTGAGGAGGCTGATGGGATCAGGGAGGTCCTTCATGCTGGGCTTGGGGCTCCATATCCTAGCCCACTCGTCCATGAGGTCGTCGATGCGCCCCATGGGCCCCTTGGGGGGCCCTCCTTTCGGGTTCGATGGAACCCATCCCAAGGGGACCTTGGTGAACTCATGGGCCAATCCAGCCCCATTGCCCAGACTTGTCTGGACCCAAGATCTCCAGGCCTTGCCCCGATCCGATTGAAACTGCTTCTCAAGCCGCTCTGCATTACGCTTGTCCTTGGCGCACAACTGCACGAGGCCACAGAAGTCGACGCAAAACAGGTCCGTCTTAGAGACTGCGCACTCTTGCCAAAAAGGGTCGGCACGGAGCGCTGCAGGCCCTTGTAGCACATGGATAAAAAAAACTGATCTGGCATCTGGTCGGTCCAAAGGCACTCCTTTCCTGACGAGATAGCTGAGCTCCTGAATGTGGATGGACCACTTCCTCCAAGCTCCCCCTTTGGCCGATGAAACAGGGTACGCACCGCCCGAGACTGAAACAGCTGGGTAGATGTTGGTCTTCATTCCTTTGGCCCGACCGCGATACTTGTGCGCATCGCTCTTGTCAATGCCGTGGATACCTATCATCTCATCCTCGAAAAGCTTGCAAAACCTAGCGTAGCCCCTGTCCAGAGCTGCCTGGTCGCCGCGCGCCTCGAGCTGAGCTAAACATTCAGACCAATCTGGAGGTGGAGGCCGCGGACCGAGAGGGGCTTCACGAGGGAACACCTTCGGACCTACAAGGACCCTGGTCTTGAGCTCTCTGGGGGCACCTGAGAGGTCCAGCGTGACGGGCCAGCGCGGGCAGTAGTTCTACGTTTGTTAAGCGAAACAGCGTCGAACAAGGGCCCGAGCGACTTCGAGATGACGAAAAAGTCGATGGTGGTCCAAGAGGTCGACGATTTTCGACATGTAGGCTCAGAGGTGTGGAAGATTGTGCCCCCAATCTTGTCCACCCAACCCGTGTCCGCTAGCAGCTTCGGCGATGTGTTGACATCCCCTCCTATCGCGAAGGGCAGCTGCCCACCATGGAGTTCCTCGCCAAGCCTGTTGAGGATCTGGAAACTGCCGAGGCCCAGGGGGTCATCGCAATAGAGATAGAGCGAAAACACCGCGATACCTCCTGGCACAAACATGTCCAACCAAACTCCGCAGATTCGGTGTGGCTGGGGAAGGAAGAGGGCGGACAAGCGGTAAGAAACCCACCCCGATGTGACTCCTGACAGCTATCCCCGTCCCGCAACTGAGCCCTCCCTTGTCTGTGGTCCTGCTTGGGTGCACGAGGGCATTCCAACCCAACTGGCGTAGCTGGTGGGTACCCTCCCGATGATCATCTCCGAAAGCGAAATCCTGGAAAACGACAACCTGGCCGAAAGACTCGGACTGCAA